GTTAATTTTAATCTAATAACTAGTTCTATGCTCTAGCATATGTGCATATAATATAGTTCTCTAAAAATCTGTTCTGGAGATGTAATATATGAGAACAAACATAAATCTTTTAAACCACAAGTGTCACTACAGTTTATATGTATATTGTTAGTGGAAGTCATAACTTCAGTTAGTTTCTGTTCGCGTCCGACGTATTCTCTTTAATTTTCCGCAAATTCTGTGTTACATGACACTTTATACGACCGTGAATAGAATAATCACCTCCATTTTTGAATAAACATATATATTATATACAACTAAAGTATATGAAAACATAATCAAATACTATAAGAATTTCATCCACTTATCCTTATTACGTCAAAACGAATATTCTACATAAAACTGGGCAATAACTTTATTAATTTAATGATATTTGAGATATTCGCGAGTCATTTAAATGAAACTACATAATATGTTTCGGATATCCAACGAGACTTTATTTTTGATAAAAACTACATACCTTCTCCGAACGTTTTTATCACGATATCAGTCGCGTAGTATATCCGAAAAATATTAGTTTCATTTAAAAATTAATTAATTTTTCAATACCTTCTACGCTCCCTACATTAATAGATGTATTAAAATTGTAATATTCACAGAACCATTATATTATTTCTTTGTTAGTTGTAACTATTTATATACAGGATGATCACAAATGTTTTAAATGCATCCTGTTAGGTATTCGTCATTATTGACGTAAGTTACTTTGGCGCCATGCATACAAACCCTTTTGATTACTCAACCAGCAATAAATTACAAGATCTATGTAAAATGTTGCATTAAAATTATTCTATGTTCACCTTAAGAACAAAGAATAATTGTTATTCAAAAAAATCCTAAGAAAAACAATCGTTGTAATATTTTATTCATTACAAAGTTTAGGTAACAATCGATAATAAAAATTGTTATTATTTAATATTTTTGACTCTTTTAATAATAATTCAAAAGGCCTAATATAATATAAATTGCAATATCTTTGTGTATGAAGTAAAACATTGTTTTTCATACGTATTCGTAGAACTGGGTCGAATCACACACTGGCTGCGAAGAGTTGCGGCTAAGTGCGCAATGGCAAACGTAATTTTTAAAAATCTTCATATAAATTACTATCATGTATAGGTTTTTTTATTTAAAAATAAAGAAAGGGAATTTTTTCCCAAATATTAATTGAAAATAATGGCGGCCAAGTTTTGATAGGCAACCTAGTATATATATGTTATCCTAACTATAAATAAACATAAAAACTTTTTCGGATCTCGAACTAATAGTCCGAGTAAGTATCATCATTACGCTACATACATAATTCATAAACGTACTCGTGTGTACACTATAGTTTTAAAGTGGGTTAGTGAGAAACGGCAAACGCTTCGTATGTAGTGTGACGCGAACTTGTATTAAGCTTACTAGTAAGGATTAACACTACTAACACTTTAATTTCGATCGCGTTTATTTGATTACATATTTCGTTGCCTCCTCGTCGTTTAATTAAAGGATCTATATCATAAAATTACTTTTTTGAAAATAAAATTGTATTTTCACAAAAAAACCACTGTTCTAGTATTATACAAATATGTCGATGAATATAAAAAAGTATAGTTTAAAATATTGAGTGGTTTTAACACAAACAACTTGTAGCGTAAATACATATACCTAAGGATAATCGTATTTAAATAATAAAAGGCGTTATTAAAAAAAATAGCAAAAACCACACAAAATTAATTGTGATTTGTACATAATTATAATTTAATTCATGTGTTGTATAATATACAGAGAATATTACCAAAAAATACGATTTAAGGGCCTCTACGAATTAAACCTATTGTGTTTATTATAAGTTTAATAATATATTATTTCTAATAAGGTCTGATAACTTATACATATATATTATTTGTGTGTGTGTGTGTGCGTGTGTGTGTGTGTGCGTGTGTGTGTGTGTGCACTGAATTGAGCACATTCAATTCATATCTTTATTTCGTGACTTTGATTCATACCAACTATTCAATGTCATAATTCTCATAGAAAATTCGTATAACAAATATGACGTTAGACAATTTGACGTATTATACCTGACCTGCTGAATAAACATCGCGTAATAATGATCATTTCTACTTATATTACTAATTGGTACATTGGAAATTAAAATTTTACCTAAGTAATGAATGTAGTGGGTTTAATAAAGTTAATAGTTATTAGTAACTTGCATATTGTACTGTTTCGTAAATTATAATGTAATATGATATGGGCGTTGCATAAATTATAATTTCCTGTTTATATTAACTCAGATTACTTAGAATTATATTGGATATGTTTAGATATATTTCCTACTAACATACAGTGGTGGCCTAATAGTTAAAGGCCTCCCTCTCATGCATGAGGGTGCGTGTGTCGGGTCCATCGTTGTAGTGAGAGGAGCTTCAACAGTGCCTGGAACTTGCGACCCAAGTGTAGGTTTAAAGGGTCCCTATCTAACGCGTAAACGCTTACCCCCACTGTCCAAGCTCCACTCTCCTAACCAAATTTGAAAAGACCAACTAGGGCTGCCTTCGAAGTACGGTCTCTATTCTTGAAAATAATCCGATACTATTTTCATTTTGATCTATTTCGGCTGCAGTTATCTTTATTAACGATTGTTTGAGATTTACATCACATTCACATCTCGTCTGCTCGTGATCACGATTGCTGAAAAGTAACCGAAACGTCGGGAGTATGTAGTTTTTACAAAAATAAAACACGCATAGTATAATCCAAAAAATATTACTGTCATTTATATGTTTTTATTCTCTTAAAATTATAATTAAAACAGTAAATAGTTTTAATTATTTGATTAAAAAGAAGTCCCAGGTAGTTTGTTTATGAACGTAAATATAGGTACAAAATGATATATTATATGAGGCGAATGTACCAAAACAAAGTTTTCTAGTACAAACTATAAATAACTTCTACATTCTATAATTAATGACAGATAATGATGACGGACAATGATTTAATGTTTTATAATTAAATTGATTTGTATGAGCCTATGATAACAATTCGCTTTCGATACCACCTCAACTACTCGTCGATAGATGGCGCTTTACATAATAAGGCGCTATGTAGTATGTATGAAATTTATTTTTGTTTAAATATTATCGCCATTTATAATAAATGCTCATTATATTCAATCAGTATTACAAAAATAAAATATTTAAGGTATTTTAGATAAAAGTCAATATAGATATATTAGATATATGTTTAAAAATACAAATTCCACAGTCGTAAATTATCCATTAGATGTGATTCCCCATACTGTTATACTGTACAAAGCTCACATAAATCTTGTGATATTCAATCAGTGATATATTTGATTCAGATCCACTGATAAACTGATAAAGAACGTTTGTCCAATCTCAAGCTATGCTACAGGTAAAGGTAACAGCTTTAAGCAAGATGCTGTAATCATAGAAATTTTAGATTATTATAACGAATATATACCGAGTTTTATTATTAACAAAAAATGCTAAAATCAATTTTATATCAAAAAAATGATTTCATTAATGAAAAATATATATAAAATAATTTAGTTACATTCCGAATAAAGCCATCCCCGAACATTATACATCACGACGGACGGACATTAGTTTCCTTTACTTAAAGATTTATCTATATTGTAACTACGGGACGTCATTTGTACTGGAAATGTTTAAACTTAGACCAGATCGAAATAAACAAACTAAGTTATGTATTAGTTTGTTTACAAATAATTTTTAAATTATTTATAACTGAAATAACTGTATCGTAAATACGTTCAAAAACTATGAAATACGTAATTCTAGTTTTGTTATACAAGATTGTTAAGAATTGTTAATATATTATAAGTATATATACTTCGAAACGTATTAATGTGATTGAGATCAAAATTAACTTCAATTAATTATATGTAAGATTTTCGCGTGTACACATTTACATTAAATTAAATATTTGCAATACTCCGAGTTTTTTATTATTTTATACATACATGATCCTTTTTGACATCTTCGTCTCGTATGCCCGTGATCATGATTTCTGTAAAGGAAACGAAACGTCGAGACTATGTAGTTAAGAATAATAAAAAGCAGTAATTTTTGAAATATTTAGTTTCCTTTCAATTACTTCAATTAATCAAATTAAATATATAAATGATTCATCAACCATAATTGAAACCTAATCTATTGATTATTTGATGCTTTACTTGATATAAACCTTCATTTAATTAGACATTTTGTTTACCACTATATACGAAAACTACCATTTCTAGAACTCTTCTAACAGTCAAATAAAAAGTATGAATTATTGTATCCTTAGCACAAGTGCTACGTCTCACTACATACGCAACGTTTTCTGTTTCTCATCCAATAACCGTCTAATATTATGTATATAACTTTTAAATTATTACTTTTAATTCTCCGTATGTAGTGACCATACTTGGGGTAAGAGTATTGATTGATAAAGATAATTATAAAAGTTTAACACACGCCATATTGACGAACACTTGAACACAATTTATTTTATCTGATACGAACATATTTATTTACAATACTAATGTATTTATATACTTATATTTTAATTAAGCTAAAACGATGAAATTTATTTTAAATTATATAATAATTCGTATCTTAAAACAATGGCTATATATACTCTGTACTACAACATAATCCTAAAGATTTAGATACTCTATTGACACTTCAAACTTATGACGTCATAATTTGTGTTTTGGCGCCATTACAAAATACGTAAACGTCAGAACGATTTTGATTTATCACAGAAATATTTTATGTTTAATTAGGACAAAAGGTGTTTGTTATTAATTTCCATGGAAGTACAAATGTACTCAAATTACCAGTTAGTCATTACATTCATTTAATATATAGTATTGGACGTGACATGTCTCATTTATTACGAGTTCGGTGTTTAATAAAGTTACATTGGTTTTGAAAACTTCAATAATGGTGCACACGAATCCTTTGAGATCGAGTTTGAAGGAGATACAGAGGAAAAAAGATTCGTTTAAGGTAAAATATATGACATTTATATCAACAAAATAATGTTTTTAACATAATATAACATGATTTTTATGTTAAATTTTCGTAAATATTCCTCAAAACAACCTCTTTTTTATATGCATTTATTATAAAGTAAGTAATCATACCTATGTGTATATTACCGTAATCTTAAATAGTCAAACGATGGCTAATATTAGCGGGAACTTCCTTAACAGCTAAAGATACCTTATCACCATCAAATGATTCATCATATATCATCATCATTATAATCAGTACGTGTGTATTGATTGATCGCGAGCTACATAAATATTGTTAAATTTAATATATAAAAGAAAGTCGTGTTATACGCTATCTATAACTCAAGAACGCCTGTACGGGTTTGGCTAAAAATTGGTGGAGAAATAGCTTAGAACATAGAAAGGACATATTATCTTTTGATCCGATTGAAACAGAAAAAATAAGTTGATCAAATACAAAATCGTTTTATCTACTGTATTTATTGAGGAATAAAGTTCGCCCGTCAGCCATACATTTGTAATTCTGAAACTAACGCAGACCACGTCGCGGTCACAGGCTAGTTTAATATATTTTTTGTGTGCATCGAAATGCGTTACGAATATTCTGCTTACGGATCCGCGGAGGTAAATAAATTATATTTATTATAAAGAAATATTTAATTGCTTTGTGTATGTTAAATTTTATTATTTATAAATCAAATTACATTATCGTGTTAGATTTATAATTTTTTTAATCTATCATGTTTATAAATTACAAAAGGAACTAAAGTGGAAGAAAATGAACATTTTTCTTAAAATATATTCGTCAATTCTATTCGACAAAACTTACCTCTAATCTCATATTTCAAAAGTTTTCGAAGGTTTTTATTTTAATTGTTTACAGTTTACGTAACTAATATAAAATGAAGAAACTTTTGAACCGAATCCGTCTTCGTTCCTCTATTAAATACAACTCAAATAACGTTTACGTATTCAGTAAGTATGAATAACTAATACGTCCTTATACGTCAATACTACGTTCTGTAGTATTGTAGTACCTATTCGTAGTACGCGTACTATCACTGACTTCAATAATTATGACTCAACAAAATACGAGAAATATATTAGAATTCCCGCGAATTTCCATTTTAGGTACATTCTATCCACAAAATACATAACAACTAATAAAAATATGTGAAATTTTTATAGAAAATCGTCTGTAGATATAAAATTCTATGTATAATGTGGTCATAAATTACGTCTGAAATATTACTAACATTTCTCAATGTCCCGAGTTCGTCGTTCTGAAGGTCACGATCAAGGGCGAGCGGCCAAGGTTAGATAAAACGAAATGTTTGACTTTGCTTAGAATACCTACCCTTTAAATATTACGAGCTTATAAACTTTTTTCGCAGTTAGCGTGGTATAATTATGTAACAAATTTAATCTTATCTTAAACAGTTAATCTTAAACTATTCCGGTTTTTCTACCAAAATTTAATAGTTTAATTTTAAATATTAAATTACTGATTATTAAGACTTATTGCTAATTCCAATTTCGTGATACTATATTTTATACTGTTTAAATGGAACTAATATTTTTCGGATATGCACGACTGTACCCGAAAAATATAAGTTTCATTCAAATGAATAAAACTAACGACAATCTTACATCTCATTATTTTAATTTGTTTTATTTTTGTATAACCTACATAAGTTACATACATATAATCTGTGGACGTATTAAAAAGAGTATAAATAAAGATATATTTACACTAAAAAAAATCGAGACTTGTAACTACATTTATTCTGAGTTTCATTATTTAAATAAAATTATTATATTAGATGTAAAACTAATAAGCTTTGTATTATACGAGAATTTTTTTACACAAAGTATTGATATATGTATAGGATTATTTAGAAATAAATTGTTTATCATTATACTTATACTTTTTTTACAGAGAAGGGATCTAGAATCTCAAGAGACAAAAGAAGGCCGAAAAAACAACAGAATATGGTGGATACTTGGGATTGACGTACCAATATTCACATTAGGTAAGTTAAATATAAGTATTAATATAAAAAAAGTTTATAGATACAAATATAGAAGATATATTTTAACTAAAACCTATTCACCTTTCACCAAACTCGTCCAAATTTAAAAATATAACGTTATAAAATTTCCATTAAGAAAAAACGGCATATGTTGCCAGTCATAAAAAATAAACGTCACATTAAAAAGCCCATACAAAATTTTGAATTTATTCCTTATATTCCAACGCATTTTTTTTTCTGGCAATTAATGCTTTCATGTCAAGATTTACTATACAACCTAAAGTTAATAGTGTTCTTGGTAATTAAATATAATTATGTAATCATTTTTTAACGACTAACCCTAAAATTGAGTAAATACTCACATGTGCGACATATGTGGACCCCACCGTGACGCATGTGGCAGAATGCACGCAATCGCGGTCTTTTTAAAATACAAAATTAAAAAATAAACAATAACATGCAATGCTAACGAACTTTATACTTATTTTAAAGTAATATAGAAGAATATTTCGCGGTAATTTTTATACAGATTAAATAAATATATAATAATTTAATATATTTTATGTATAAATTTAATCTATTTTTACATTTTATTACGTATTATGACAACTGTTATGGTTGTCAAGAAGATCGTTTCAAATGATTTATTGCAATCGTTCAGAAATCATTTTATGAAATGAAGTGTATATGAAAATATTTTTATATTAGTCCATTTTTAACTTTCTTAAAAATCTACAGTAATTTTTAGAAATGTGTAGAACTAAAAATACTTTAAATTTATTTAAAATAAAATTTAAAATATTAGATATTTTTAAGAATATATGTAAACAAAAATCGATATCGATTCCTAAAGAAAATTAAACTCATATAATAATATATAAATTATCTTTTTAAGTAAATTTTACAATTCTTCCGAATATTGAGTTAAGATTCGACATGGGACAATAGTTTGTAGGTCGCTAGCGCCATCTGTTGTCGAGTAGGACATATAATATAAACTATATTCATTTTACATTTTAATTTTTGTCTCATTTAATAAAAATAATATTCACGTTCTAGATCAATGAAGAAATATTAAATTTGTTATCATTCCAAATATTGCATCGCTACTTATATATTATAAAAGCATTTTTATTAATGTATTTTTTTATATATTTGACAATAGACGCCAACAGTTATATTTATTATCACTATTTTTATATATATTTTTATTTTCTTCTATATACGTATGTTGTTTACATATTATATAAATCCTTTGTCTTCAACAGGATATTATACAAGCCATCATCCAATAGGATGTTGACGCAACCACATTGTGCTTCACGTGCATAGTACATGTCTAATGTGACACGCGAAAATAACCTTTATACATATATAAAATAAATATTATTATCGTATAATAGTATTTAGAGCATCTTTATAATACTATATCTGGAACATAACACGCGAAAATAATCTTTATTTATATTTAAAATAAGGATTATTATTGTATGACAGTATTAAGAGATTCCTTTGAATCTGTATCGTGTAATAGTGAGTTCTGGCCAATTTTTTTCATTCATCTATTATGCAACTGGCTTTATAGTTTTTTTATTGTCTACTATGAAGTTTTTATATAATTTTAAAATAATTTAAACTATTTTTTTTTCTAATATATTTCGTTGGTGGCAATATTTTTATTACACATCAGAAACAGATAAAATTTAAAATAATATATACAAATATATATTGCTGTACAAATAGACATGTAAACCACAATAATTTCATAGAACATGTCTCATACGTTGCTATCTGTAACCTATTTAATTCAAAACTATATATACTAATTAGCAAGTTAGTCAGAATTCAATAGAGCGGTTGAAAGTTGACTATTAATATTGATATTTTCAATAATATAACATCATATATGTAATAATTACAATATATTAATTTAAACTAATATTTGTCGGGTTACTACGCGTATTTAATTATTTTTAAAAACTACATATTCCCGACGTTTCAGTTACTTTTCAGAAACCGTAATCACGGTAATAATATACGCGTAGTGTAATCCGGAAAAATATTAGTTTAATTTAAATATATACTCGTGAAAGTCTTAGATAAATTTTATAATCACTTTCAAACTGCAGCAAGAATTAAAATGATTTTAAAAACTTAAAGAAATTACTATAATAAAATAAGTTATATGAATGTTGCCATTTAACAACACTTATTATTTTTATATAGCAACATAAAATATAAATAAATTTAAAAATATTGATACAATTTCTCTGCCTTGATTGTAATACTTGTATAAAATAAAAGTAGAAACATTAATGACAACAAACTTTCTATTTCTTTGCTATATAAAAATATCTTATATATAATCTGTAGTCGTGATACTAAACGGATATTTTGAATACTCGGATTTAATAACGAAATTGTAACATCCTGTGGTTTCGACATTGACTTTGAACTTAAAATGGCGGATGCGAGGGATTCGCGAAATAAATTGGCTAATGCCATTGGCCAAATGTCTTGTAGCAATGCCCACGGTGGAATTTATGAACGTGCTGCGTAAAAATAATATTCCTCATCTGCCTATCAGAGCTCACTGCTGAGCAAAGGTATCTTCTCACATGGAGAAGGTTTGAGCATTAATCACCACGCTTGCTCAAGACGGGTTGGTGATTTCATACTTATAATCGTGTGATTATAAGTCCAGGTTTCCTCACGATGTTTTCCTTCATCCGTCAGTGGTGTCTAAATACTCTTAGAAAGTACATAAAACTCGGAAAAATCATAATAGTACATGCCAGGATCGAACTCGCGCCCTCATGCACGAGAGGCCCCTTTAATCACTAGGCCAGCATACTAAAAAAAAGATAAAAGATATTAAAGGAAAAAAATAAAGCGAAAGATTTAATCTTTATGTGTAAATCAATTGATGCGTCCAGTCTCATCTGCTGAGTTATCTTTATATTTCCTGGAAACGAGAGATTTGTGAACAAAGAGATTGTATCGAGGAAGATTCATGAGGGTGATGTGTTTTTTACAAAGCTAATTAGTTGATCGTATATCTTTAATATTTCAATGCATTTCTTTATCACAAAATGTTTTTAAAGTGTAGCATACTAAATATTTAAATAACTTTACTGCTATGTAAATAATATTGAAAATCAAGAAACATATTTTCTTTAATTTCGGGAAAATTTTAGTACTTATAGCAAATTTACCACGACAATAAAAAAATAACGTATTTATTCAAAATTTCGTTTCTACCCTCAAATTATGTTAATATTTTAACCAATGGCTATGTTCGAAAATAAAAATTAATTCACTATCAACAGTTAATCTCATACTTAGCGTAAATAAGCCTTATATAAAGTTATATATATAATAAAAGCTGTTGAAATAGTTGACTAATTATCTATTATTGTTCTAGTCGCCGCCTTACTATTACTGTTCGAGCTGGGTGTTATACTCCAACACAAGAGCGGCTTCTTCTGCAACGACCCAGCTCTGTCATACAAGTTTACAGGAGACACGGTCACTACAGAAGTCATTGTTAGCACAATCATCATACTGCCGTTTATATTAGTGAGTATACTTTATATATATAATTCTTCTGTGAGTGTGTATGTCACTGTACTTCTCTCAAACGACCGGACCGATTTTGATGAAATTTTTTGTGTGTGTTCAAGGGGATCTGGGAATTGTTTAGATTCACAATTTTGTCAGCTGGACAATGTTTTTTAAATTAATTTTTAATTTATTAGTAGGTAGTTGTTGATACAAACGTTTTTTTTTGACATTAGATTTGACAACTAACTAATTAGTCAATCATTTTGTCACACTTCAAACCACGGAGATTTAAGGCTTTAATAGGTAAACTCAAAAAATATAAATAAAAAAACGTAACAGATATTTCTTGAATATAGGGCGATACGAAGTTCGCCGGGTCTTCATCTATACTAATATTATAAAGCTGAAGAGTTTGTTTGTTTGTTTATTTGTTTGTTTGTTTGTTTGTTTGAAAGCGCTAATCTCCGAAACTACTGGTTCGAATTGAATAATTCTTTCTGTGTTGGATAGTCCAGTTATCGAGGAAGGCTGTGGGCTATATAACATCACGCTACAACCAATAGGAGCAAAGATATAGTGGTAAATGTGTAAAAAACGGGAGAAATTATTTCATCTTTGAGGCCTTCCGTTGCGTGCGTCGGGAAAACGGTCCAAGATACACAAAAAATATGTACCGAAGAATGATAGCTCTTTTAATGATCTAAAAAACAGTCCACGATAGTATATGTCTATCTTTTAAGATTAACTCACAAAAACCGTTTTTATGGTACCTCATTTGGTTGAAATAATTTTATAAAATCTTTATTCAAATAAACAAATAAATATATTGTTGGTTAAGAGTACTTCATTGTGAATTAAAAAAAAACATAGGTTTTATCCTGAAAATTCTACGGGAACTCGACCATTCCGAAAACCCCCCCAGAACGGGAACTATGTGGGAAGAACCCAAAATCTGCCGGAAGTCACTATTCCACGCGGACGGAGTCGCGGCAAAAGCTAGTATTATATTTAATTTATGATATTTTTTGGACGTGGTCCTCTTTAATTCGTCTTAATTCAGGTGCGGTCAGAATTTAATTGTTTATGAAATTGTAACCTCGCTCACGTATTTTATAGCACTAATCATTTTGGCGCTTATAAAGGAGCTATTAAAGAATTTAATTGACTTTGAGTCTTAGTAATTTCGTTTTTAAATCTATAATAAAAAAATACACTACTGATTAAATTCCAAAACAAAGAAATACAAATACCTTCTTTATATATGTTTTCTAATCTCTATATATTCTTTCAGGTGTTTTTAACAGAGTTCATATTGTTCGATTCCGTATACACGACGCAAACGAGATTACAATACGTGTCAAGACAAACTGGTCGGTTGTACGGCAGCTATGTGTACGCTGCGTTCTTTAACTTGACGGTAGTCGAAGTGATGAAGGGCATTACTGGGAATCCCCGGCCAACCTTCTTTGACATCTGCGAACCGGATACCGCTAAAACATGTAATGGGTATGGACCTAAATATTTCTGCACCAGTAATACTTGAACTCTGGTTTTTAAAATAAAAATAAATGCGTTTATTACACTTTTTTGTGATGAAAATTCTTTAGTTCTGTCTGAAAATCGACGTTATAGATTAAAATTTGTATGTGAACGTAGTTTGGGGCTAGAAATAAAATTTTATGTGCCAACGGTACCCAATTATTTTATAATTTAGGCTAACTATGAATATTCAAAAATAGTATTGCCTCAATGAACCTACTGATATATCATATAGCTGACCATTTTAAATATCTTAACATTTCTAATAAAGATACGCTGAAGAAATGTTTATCAATAAGAATATTCGATAAAATATATATAGAACTTACGAGTATATTATTTGTACTAAACGCTGAGCAAAAAAAAATTGCTGTCTTTGAACATTTAATCTTTGAAATCTAACAGTATCTGTAAACTTTTGAGCGAAGCTTCCAAGTATGTAAAGTTAGATATTTGGTCCTACCTTCAAGGCGTTGTATATCTGCATATGCTCATTTTTACATACAAATAATTCCTTTACCAGGTCGGAGTTCGTGAGTACATTTGAATGCACGTCTACCCGTTTCCCGTCTTGGTTCCAGCGTGATTCCTATCACAGCTTCCCCTCGGGACACACCTCTCTATCCGTGCTATGCGGATTCTTTATGGCGGTGAGTTATAATTGAAATATTTAAAGAAACTAATACTTTTTAGACTAAGGTACTAAGTAGCCAAAATATCGGGAGTATGTAGTTTTTTACAAGATAAAGTCGCTTAGTATAACCAAAAATTAGTTTCATTTAAATGAATAAAATTCGCAAAAGCATTAGATCTCATTTTATGTTCGAAATACTTGATTATACATCCTTTACTACATGCTATGATCCTTGCCATCGTCTTAAAGCTAAGCGACGGATTCGTCTAAGTTTTGTATAATGTATATTATAAAAGTCAAGGTTTATTAGTCTTTTACTTATAGTTCCAATACTTGCAAAAAATTAATAATAATTAATGTTTGTAATTATCAAACTATTTTCCTCTATAGGCTATCAATACTTCCAAAACGCTATAAGTATAAAGCATTTTCCTATCTAGTTGACGTCTTTATCTTTTACTTACACTTTCAATACTTGCAAAAAGACTATCTACAGTTAATCCTCCCAGTTATCAAAGTATGAATACTTGGGCTTTGAGGTGAACCTCTATAGGCCATCAAAATTCCAAAAACTCTATAAGTATCAAGTATTTTCCTCTCTACTGGGCATATTTGTCTTTTACTTACACCACAAATACTTGCAAGAAGACTATCTATAGTCAATGCTATGAAGTCTGAATGTTCCCACTTATCAAAGTATTCATACTTGGCTTTGAGGTGAACCTCTATAGGCCATCAAAATTCCAAAAACTCTATAAGTATCAAGTATTTTCCTCTCTACTGGGCATATTTGTCTTTTACTTACACCACAAATACTTGCAAGAAGACTATCTATAGTCAATGCTATGAAGTCTGAATGTTCCCACTTATCAAAGTATTCATACTTGGCTTTGAGGTGAACCTCTATAGGCCATCAAAATTCCATAAACTCTATAAGTATCAAGTATCTTCCTCTTTAACTTACCCTACAAATACTTATAATCTATCCATACTAAATGTTCCTAATGTATCATCTAGTGGTACCTCCAGCGCCGCGTGTTCTCATATCACCGTCGCTCGCTGCTAGTGGTCCCGCTGCTCCAGGTGTCGTGCGTGTCGTACTCCGCGCTGTGCTCCCTCACACGCGTCACCGACCACCGACACCACTGGTGGGACGTGCTCGTGGGGGCGGCGGTGGGGGGAATCAGCTTGTTATATGCGGTGAGTTTGGATACATATACTAAAATATTTAAGCTTTTTTGATTTTTTTTTTATGGGAAAAAATGGCAACCGAACAGACGGCCTACTTGATGGTAGGTAGTTACCGTCGCCCATGGACATCCGCAACGTAAATTTGTGGATGTGTTGCCGCCCTTCATTGGGGAAAAGGAGGAGGAAAAGGTGTGAAAGGGAGGGAAAGGAAAGGGTGGGAAAAGGGAAAGGGAAACCGGCTCTCTCACTCACCGGACGAAACGCAGCCCTTAAAGACTACTTTACGCCGATTTTCTGTGAGAGGGTGGTACTTCCCCGGTCGAGACAGCCCATGTTCAACTGTAGTAACTTGACTGCAGCTAGGCTCTACCACCTCTAAAAAAAACTTAATGGTGTCAACGCTATCAATGGTTATTCATGAAAAACATTGAAATTTTATTAAACTCGTGAAGGGCGGTCCAATGTCTAGGGTAGTTAGCCTATAAAAAAATAACAAAAACTCTATAATAATTGGCACCATCTTGCAGTTAGGCTAAGTACTTATGAGACTTTAATACTGTTTATTATAATTAGAAAACTGATTTAAATTCTGTAATATTTTTATTGTAAATATATGTATGTACATATACAGGGTGACTGGTGAATTACTATCGATACTTGAGGACGTGATATTTGACGATCATATATGACAAAATAAAAATTAATATAACATAAATATTAATAAACTTCTAAGTAAACTTAACCAAAAGTTGTGTAATTACATTACACACACACACACACATACGCGTGCGAAGGCGTGGTGTTGTATCAGCACGCCGCCGCACGCGTCCACACTTGGAACACTTGGAACGTGTCCACACTTTATTTATTTATACGGAAATTTGGTCAAAAATTAAGTACCATTTTTTTTTTACATAATTCGAATGAGAATCATGTACCGAGTATTCTCCTTAAATATTGATAGTAATTCACCAGTCACCCTGTATATATATATACGATAAAGGGATGCAACAGTTAATTAAATACGGAGTTGTCTAATGCGGTTAGTGAAGTTGACAAACAAACAAACGAAGGTCCGCTAATTAGATCCAACACTGGAACAAACGAAATACACAGTCGGGGACAAGATAAATATTGGCGAAAAGGGTTATTGACCCGACCGGACGAATTATACTAATTATATGAAAGATATAAAAATAGTAAAAAATATTTATAGAACATTATTTAAATATGTCAAAAATTCTATGGTGGTAATTGAAAATATGTATAATGTAGGTATAGATTGAACATTTTAACGAAAAAAGTTAATCCAAATTCAAACTTGCAACCTCCCTAATATCGCGTTCTAGATGGGATCAATACGACATAACTATTTTAATAAATTGAATTAATAGTATATTACAATTATTGTTTAAAAAACAGAATTATTTTTTTTCCATACAGGTATACGCTCTCTGCGATAATTTCACAATGCCACGAAAAACTACGGACGAAATGACGGTCAGCCAACACACTGTAGGGAGTTTGGTGTACAGAGAAGAAAGGAACTAGTGACACAAGAGTGAAGAATTATATTAAATATATTTATAATTTATATAAAACCTTCTTAGTCCATATTCATTGATTTGAAGTTAAAACTAGACACGGATAATTTTTATTTATTTTTATTCATTTATCTGACAGACGATGAAGGAAAACATCGTGAGGAAACCTGGACTTATAATTTCACAATTATAAGTTTGAAATCACCAACCCGTCCTGAACAAGCGTGGTGATTAATATTCAAACCTTCTCTATGTGAGTAGAGGCCTTTCAGTAGTGGGCTCTGATAGGCTGATGACGAATCTTCACAAATGATAATAGCAATTTAGTTGTGTGAAAATAAATAGAAGTTGTCTGTGTTTGATTTTAGACTGCTCTACAACATATTAAATAGTGAAGACAAGATTGGTAAAATGTTAATTCATAAGGTTACATGACATTGGCAGAATGTAATGTGCACATAAGCAACTTTTCTATAAACGTTCTATATTAAATTTCTCCATAAAAAATATAAACACTCGAAAAATTTATTTCAATTAATAATTCGTCTTATTGACAATTAATTATTAAAGTATTCGCTGTTTTATAGATATGCTTTGTATCATCCAGATTTCCCAAATAATTTAATATACAGTCATTTATAATCTTTAATTTCATGATAATTAGAAAGTGTCATGATCATTTTGACAGACCCTCAAATAAATTTTATTTAGAGCCCAAACTCAATTTTCATTGTTTGAGCGTTACAAAATCATGCTATGAGAAATTAACCACTAATTTTAATTCATAAATTATAAAACAATCCCACTATCGACTGAAAACTACTTATATTTTGTCAACAATATAAAAAATACATTTTTTGTTATTTACATTTAATACAATTATTATTAATCTATTAATGAAGTACTAGGAATTGAGAAAATAATGGCGGCAATTTGAATGTCACCTTTCAAATCGGAACTGCGTTATTGTCAATTAAAAAATATTTTGTATATAAATATATTGTTTTTAATAAACTGCTCAAATATTAATGGATATAGAAATCGTAAATTATGATTATGACGCGGAGTGACTGATAATATGTATAGGTAATTAGTCATTTAATAGTTTTTATGACAATTGTATATATGTTGTTTTTATACGATTTTGTTGTAAATATATCTTATTTTTAATATTGTATTTTTATTTTGAATACACGCCTTAAAACCTCTTTAGTTTTATGTAACACGTCATTACAACTCGTTGCCCAAAATCGTTCTTCACAAAGGGCAATTGAAAGATAGCCATTGCTTCACCATGCCGTTTATGTCATTACATAAAAAAGGATGTCGGGTTCGATTCCCGTGTGATGAAACATGCTATTAAAAAGGATATTGGTAGCTTTACAATACATATATTTTTATGATAAATATATTAGAAATCAATGAATTATTTTTGATTACTCTTCCACCAACGTAAATACTTTCTTTACATGACAATTATCTGACTAATATCTGAGTTTTCGATTATAATATTCGGTACTTTTTAACCCCTGATTAATGGATGTTATAATTTTGACGCGTCTGTCTGTGTCTATGTGTGTATGTGTCTATCTGAGGCAACATAGCTCCCAAACTGATGATCCGATTTTAATGAGTTTTTTTTATTTGAAAGGTATATCCCTCGAGAGTGTTCAAGCCTATCAGGGCGTTTGTTAAATGTGATAGGAATATTACACTCACAGTTTGCTTACAAGCATATGTGGGAACTGACATTTGAAACACTAATGTCTTCTGGACTGCCGTTTAATAAATCCATCGAGTTTGGGCTCGTTGAATTTGTCTTGACTGGTTCTGTTCATGTTTCTAATTAGGTCGGGGGTTTTATTAAATTTTTAATTTATGTCAGTTATTTAATATTATATTATGCGTAATTAAAGGACATTACAACTTTCTATTTCTGTAGTCCTACTGACACCATTCGATAAACGCTAGTGACGTGCATCAAGGATTCTGATAACCTTACAACTAAACTAATTTACTGACATCGACATAGTATTACGTCATATTTATTACAATTTATTGATTTATTGGCATGTTGAATAAATTTTTTTCCACTTTGATTGCTAATTCAGAAATCAGAATATACAGACGGGAATAGATATAAATATTATCATTTATTTCGTTATTTTCAATAAAATAATCGTTTTTATGGAGATGTAGAAAAAGTCAGCCAATATAAGGATAGTAGAATAGAATATTTGAAGTTATCTTAAAAGGTAAATCATAGCATTGGATGTAAAAGGTACTTTTTAATTGAATGCCCTGTTAGGAAAATTTCATCTATTTACAACTTCATTGACATAACTTATCATTAATTCTTAATTATGTAATAATATTGTTATATCAAGAATTCAAATTGGTGTGTATTTTAATTTTTTTAATCTTAAATATGATAAAGTGATAGTATTGTTTTTCAGCCTGTATCTAAAGAGGTTACATATAAGAGGTTGTTATACAAGTTGGCACAAAGTTTTTCAGCCTGAATCTAAAGAGGTGCTATGCATGAGTCAATACTATGTACACGTGTGCTAAGAATATTCTAGAATTACTAATTCCTAGCGGGATACGCGAGATCAGTTCATTGTGATTTATGAGTGTTTTATTGTTCCTGTTTCTACCTGACAGGTAATTTTATGGTGCTATCAACACTGAACATTACGTCATTCAGATTAAATGATGCATTCCAAATATAAATACTGTTTGTTTCTATATATACATACAATAAAAATAAAATAATATGTGTAGAAATATTTTTAAACATTTTTGTGGCTTGAATAATTATGAGAATACAAAAAACCTATATCGGCACCATTAGAACCAATGATGGATGAAACATGACAATAATTAATAATAAAAGGAAAGTGAACTATGTTTGAATGTTCTTACAAGTACGATGTTTGGTGCACGACAGTAGAGTTTCGTCAGTACGGACCATTGAAGAATATAGAATCTTCGGACTATTTAAGAACATAAAACCTTAGAAAGATATTTAGAAGTTTCATTTTAAAATATCATGAACGTACTGAAATAAGTGACATTGGTGACGTCAGCAATACTTACGTGTATTTCTTTACATAATAACGAAAACTTTATAACTTTCTCAAGGTTAACTCTATATCTGTACCAAATTTCATTAAAATCAGTTCAGTGGTTTAGGCGTGAAAGCGTAACAGACAGACAGACAAAGTTACTTTCCCATTTATAATATTAGTAGGGATAAATTACCCCATTATGGAATATCTGAAGTTTGGATGAAGTCTTAAGTTAGTAAGATCTAAGCTTTTGGTGAGTATTTATTGAAATAATACTAATACTTTTCAGATTTACAGAAAATTTTAGTATTATTAAGCAGGAAAACCCCATGAGTTACACCATGACTCATGGTAGGGTCAGCAGAAAAATAATTCTCTTTTATGTTGCAGATAACTTTTTTTGGTAGGTTATACCATACTACGTCTTGAGCTTATTATAAATAAAGATATAAAATTCATTTCATACTAACTTCATGTGTAAGATGTATAAAATCCATTCGTAAACATCATGAATATATTTATTTATTTTTTTATCACTACATAGCTTTAGTAAGACAATTCTTCTTCTTCTACCTGGCAATTTCCCAGCTATAGCCAGGGTCTGCCTTACATGTTGTGAATAGTTATTTGGCTATTTGTTTTAACGACCGGCCGCCTGCCTGACATCAACCTTCTTTTGGGAATCAACATTAATCAGTGATGTCTAAATACTCTTAGAAAGTACATATGATTCGGAAAAATCACATTGGTACTTTTGCCCGGGCCAGGATCGAACCCGCGCCCTCGGCGACGAGAGGCCCAGAGACGGGCCCTTTAACCACTGAGCCACCACTGACTAACTTGTTATTTAAATATCAACTATATTTTCCTGCAACTTAATTTTGATGCTATCTGTACCTCAATCAATAGCCTGCATTGTTTGACAATGCAATTAATTGTAAGTGCCCCTACACGCGATCCCTTGTAACATGCATTACTGACGCACTACCTAATATTATAAATCGATTAAACTTTAATCAAATGAATCTTAAAGCGCTTTTCTGATGAAATATTGTTTGTATTAAAAAACATATATATTTAAAAGCGCTAACTAAACGATTTAATTGTTTCAAGACTAATTTATGACCTTAATTATGAATGAATGTTTTGTATTCTTAATTTCTGAACGTTTTGTATGACAGATGTCAGTTCAACGACCCCGCGACACCAGACGAAATGCTAAAATGACACGCGAAATTACTCTAATTAGTTGTGTGACACAGTTTTATAACAGATATACGCTTAATATATGTATAAATATAAATAGAAATGGGAATAATCGATTGAAATATGTCGATAGATATTTTAATGAAAGCTATTATAAAGAAATTGTAATAAGAAAATCGGAATATGGGTTTTTTAATAGTAAATTTCGTACTAAAATACCATACATTAACAGATTAATACGTTTTTTAAGCTAACTTTATGTTATAACAAGTTCAACGAGTTTAATGGACATCCGCAACATCTCTGTTACAGATGCGTTGCCAACCTTGGTTATTAAGGAATAGGGAGGGGTGGGTATAAAGAAGTAGCTGGAAAGGGTGGGAATAGGGAAAGGATAACCGGATCTCTTACTCATGGGACGAAATGCTACCATAAAAGACTACATCACGCCGATCTTCTGTGAGAGGATGGTACTTCCATCGTCGAGCCAGCCCATGTTCGAGCTGTAGTAACTAAACGCATCTAGGCTCTACCACTTCCTTTTCTTACAGTTTCCAGTTTCCTTACAGTCCAATTTTCATTATACTGAGGATACTAATCAAAAATGTATTCATTATATCTCAATAGTTGTACTATTCAATAATAACTCATATAAATCTCCATCTTTACGAATGTATTATTATTTATTACTCAGATATTCCAATTTATTTCAATTCAAGTCATATTTTAT